TGCCGAAATTGGTTTGGGTGACGCATGCGGGCGGTGGCACTGGGGCCTTCGGTGGAGCTCCCGATGGGGCCACGAAACATGTGAGGGGTGTGCCGAAAAGGGTGTAGGTGACGCATGCGGGCGGTGCCATTGGGGCCTTCGGTGGAGCTCCCTACGGTGCCACGAAACATGTGAGGGGTGTGCTGCAAAGGGTGTGGATGACGCATGCTGGCGGTGGCACTGGGGCCTTCGGTGGAGCTCCCTATGGGGCCACGAAACTTGAGAGGGTGTTGTGCCGAAATGGGTGTGGGTGACGCATGCGGGCGGTGGCACTGGGGCCTTCGGTGGAGCTCCCTCTGGGGCCACGAAACGTGTGAGGGGTGTGCTGAAACGGGTGATGACGATGATGGAGGAGGGGGAGGAGGAAGGACGGAGAATGCGGGGCGTTGTTTCTTCAAACGGACGAGGACGGTTGGGGAACAGTTTGTGTAGCCGAGCTTTCTGTGGTAAACAAGAGCGCCCTCTTGCCTGGCCTTCGACCACGCAGCGGCGTCCCTGATTGCCTGGTTCGGCAGCGCGTGCTGCCCCCGTGGGCATCAGCAGGAGCTTTCGTCGCTCACAGCATGTGGCGCACTGAATAGACAGTATTCACAAACTGCGTTCTGCGCGCAGTGTTTTCAGGCGGGCATCACTGGAGGCTGCTACTCATGCAGTTGAAAGCCTCTTCCCCTCGTGACGTTCGGAGGTTCCTGTGAGAAAATGGCCGCTAACACATCGTTGTGTACTTTGGCCGCGCGTTGTTCGTTCACTCGCTTGCTGCGCAATTTCTGTGTGGGTCCGGTGGTCGAGTCCAGCCGTGGGCCTACGCGGCGGAAAGAGCGACACCGCAAGGTGGCAGCATGTTCCCAGACGCATTTCCAGGGTAATTCCTCTGTCGATGAGGGCCTCCACCGAGCCGCAAGGCGCGCCCAGATGGTCACGACAGATTTTGAAGACCCCCGATAGGCCCCGGAAACCAGACCGACAGCGCTGTCATTACGATACCTATGACAACGGGAACGCATGAACACAGGAAGCTCAGGGCATTGCGTACGTCCCCAGCGGCCCCCAGTGCCGTTCAAGCAGCAATTCGTCCTTCTCTGCGGTGATTCAGCGAGGAGCTGGGTCCAGCAAGCTTTCGTCGCTCACAGCAGTCGGCACACGGAATCTGAAGTGTCCAACCTTTTTTGTCGAGCAGCAGTTGGGCCTTCTGAAGTGTCGTTTGCCAAACCTTTTGGAACATACGTAATTCAGTTAATTGGATGCACAGGGGGAGTTCAATCTATAGAAGCATACGTAAAGCACAAAAAGGATTCGTTCTCCAGGGGGGTCCCAATCTGTAGGGACATACGTACAATACATGGGATTGGAGCCACTCCTGTGGCCTGCTGAGGCCTCCTGCTCCTGGGGCATCTTGGGGCCTCCTGGTGCCTTCCGTGGCCTCCTGGTGCCTCCTGGCGCTTCTTGTGGCCTCCTGGGGCCTCCTGCGGCCTCTTGGAGCATCCTGGAGCCTCCAGAGGCCTCCTGGACCCGCTTGGGGCCTGACGACGCGGACGACGCGCCGAGCGGCGGCGCGCAGACCAGACAGGCGCTGCGCGAGCCCGCCAAGGGATGGGAGGGGCACAGCAGGGCTGAACCTGAACGGTGTTTGTCGTTTTCGTTTAGTTCTCGTTTTCCCTCGTTTTGTCTTCAATCCGCCTCCACCGCAAAACGAAGTCGAAGCGAAAACGGCCCACGAAATCGCCAAAACACCGTTTAGGTCCAGCCCTGGGGCACAGAACGCCGGGACGGTGGCGGGAGGGCCAAGCCCGGCCACCCCAGCGTTGGGGCAAAGCGGCCCCCCCAGCTCTGGGGGAGTTCCCTTCCCTCGGAGTGCCAGGCAGGGTGCGCACAGGGGCACGGCGACCAGCCCAGGTGCTGCTGGCGTGTGCCAACAGCGTGGTGTGAAAGACGCAGCGACGTGGGCACATTCAGCGAAGTGGGCGCGGGGCAGCGGCGGATGAGGTGGTCCGCGCTGCGGCCGAGGGCCCGCCAGACGAGCTCGGGGGCCTCGGTTTGGTTTCGTGGCTGTGATCGGGCGGTCGGCCTGTTGCCGCCGGCGGCAGCGGCGAGGGCTGCGGTGGGGCTCGCAACAGCCCGCACACTAGCTGATGCGGCCTGAGTGGCCCAGAGACGTTCGACCAATTCTTGCCGCTCGGTTTGCTGATGCGCGGCGTCGTCCCGGATGCCGCGGACCTGACCCACGAGCCGAGCGGTGCAGCTCCTTGCCGCGCCAGCGTGGGTGCCTGTCGGGCGTCAGCTTCAGCCGCTTGCTGCGGGCGGGGCGGGGCCGGCCTGGGCTGAGGCGGCCTGTCGCCGCTCAGCGTGGCGGCCCTCGGGCCGGCGACAGCGTTCGGGAAGAGCCCGTCTGTTTGAGCCTGCCGCTTCCGTTCCGCGAGGCCGGGGAGCTCGCCGCTGCAGGGGCGGGGCCGCGGCCGCGGGGCGGCGCCTGTTGCACGTGCCGTCGCAGCGTGTGGACCTGGACTGGCCGTGTCTCCTGGCCTCGGCTCCCGCCCGGGAGAGCGGGCCAGGCATGGGCGCCCTGGTGGCCACCGTGCCGGACGTCCCTCCTGGCACGGTCCTTGCCCCAGCGGGCGGGGCAGGAGTTGGCAGGCGAGTGGCCGCCAGGGCTCCCGCCTCGCCGTCGCTGCTGGACGAGCTGCGGCACCCCACGCCGCGGTGGCAGGGCCGAGGGCTCCCGAGGAGCCGCCGCCCAGGAGGGCCGGCGCGTCGGAGGTCGACGCTGCCGAGGCAGGGCCGCAGTTCTGAGGGACGTGGCCGTCGCTGTCCGTGCCCCCGCCCAGGCCGAAGACGTCTGGGTCGGCGCCGACCCAGAGATCCAACGGATGGACAAAAATCAAGACGGAGTTCTTTCGCACATTTCAGCTCCTAGGGGCCCTCGCCGGGCCTCGGGACCGTCAAAGAACGACTCAGGATGAGAAACCGGTCCTGGGGAGTGGGTCGAGACTTCCTGGGACCGCGCATTGGAAAAATCAGGACATTGGATCTCTGGGGATGCAGTCGCCAGGGCTGTCGGGGACGCAGGGTCATGCACCCGCCGCGTCCGCGAGGAGGATCCCGGGGCGCGCTTCCGGAGCTTTCGTAGCGAGGGGGCTCTTGCCTCCTCGTTGGGCATCGGTGAGGCGGTGCGGTTTTCCGGCGCTGTTTGTTTGGGCCTCATTCTGGTGTTTATTCGAAATTGGCTGCATCAGAAAGGACAGCCATCGTTGGGCCACGGTCCACGAGGTGTTTGCAAAGGCGTGTGGAAGGTCCGATTTTGATGCAGGTCGGCCTGCCCATACGGGAAGGAAAGAGGAGGTGGCAAAGCAGACGGTAACCAAGGTGCGAGAGACGAGTGGTGAAGGGGGTGACGAAGCTTGCAGTGCAGCCTCCTAGCTTTCGTGCAGGGCCCTGCGCTGTTCCGCTGTCGAAAGGTCCTCACGCGGCAACATCGAAGCTCTGGAATTGCACGAAGCCGAAGTTGTTTTTCTCTCCAATCGTGGTGCTGCGCTGCTAGCTAGCATGAAACGGAACATATTGCAGCAGGTGTGCACACAGTAAAGCGCGGATTCGATGAGGAGCCAGCTACTACAGGCCATTGCCAGGATAACCCTTGGAACATGATGGTCGCGAGTCTACGCTTCGGTACCGGCATTTAATCCGGTAGTTCACGGCGGTGGTGCAGGTGGTCCAGGCATGGCTCACGATGAGGGTATCAGCAGGGGCGCAGCAGGGGCGAGGAGGAGGAAGATGGATAGAGAAGGCGGAAGAAAGAAGGATAAGGAAGCAGGAGGAGGAGGAGGAGGAGGAGGAGGAGGAAATCGGGGGAGACTGAGCGGAGGGGAAGTGGCAGGGAGAGATGGGAGGGGAGGGCGGATGAGGGGAATGGGGAGGAGTGCGGCGGATCAAGTTACCGACATGAACGCCGCAGGCTGTCTCGTTCATTCCCACACGTCCTCCCATTACACAATTCACCTGAGACTCAGCAGAGGTAGCGATTGCCATCCGATGGGCAGCCACTTCGGACCAATATTGATGCGCACGCCGGGTGCGCTATGCGGACAGGGTGCGCCAGGAACGTTGGAGCGCCAGTATTTCTGTGCCGACGGGGACCTCTCACCGCAGTTGGTGCTCGTCACAGGTATCCTTGCGCTGGCGGGGACCTCTCACCGCAATGTTGGTTCACGCGTACGATGGTGATCTTCACGGGTATTGTTGCGCCGACGGGGACCTCTCACCAAAGTTGGTGTTCGTCTCGGGTATTCTTGTGCCGCTATGTAGTTTCACAGTTCCGGTTGGTTTCTTCACATATATTTTGGCGTTGACGGGGACCTCGGACCACGGTCTTGGGTTACAGGTGCGGTGTTGTTGGGTAGTTAATTACCTTCGATCACAATTGTGTGTTTGAGGTACGGCGGTGCTCGTCACATCTGTGTTTGCGCCGACGGGGATCCGAACCCCTCTTCCCTACCAGCCCCAAGTTACTCTGCTTGAGGCTTTCCCTCAGGCAAGGTCATCGTGAGGGCCTTCGTCGCAGTTAACACACTTATTGCAGGCGCTTCAGATGTGCGACGCGCGCAGAGCACGCAAGGCGCGCCAGCACTCGTGGCAGGACGCATCGAGCAACAGGTCAACCCCCACTGCCGCCTCCTCCTCCTCTTCCTCCTGCCTCCTCTTCCTGCCTCCCTGGAACTTCCCATGTATTGTTGCTTCCCTCCTCATTCCCCGTCTGCGTCCCTTCCCATCCTCCCTCATCCTGTCCACCCTCTTCCTGTGTCTCCGCCTCTTCCTCCTTTCTATCCTCCTCATCTTCTTCCTCGTGCTCCTTCATGCCTGCCTAACAGGCGGAGCCGGGCGTGGAGCTCAAAGCAAAACATGCTCATTCTTCTTTTCCCCTCGTGCTCGCCGTTCTTGTCCCGCCGAGAGAGCGGTGGGCACGCCAGGAGCGGCAGAAACTGGCCGAGGAGGCGCATAGAGCGAACAAGGAGAAGGCCCGGGGGTGAAGGAGGGGGACGACGAATGCGAGAATGAGGAGGGGGAGGAGGAGGAGGAGGAGGAGGAGGAGGAGGTGGAGGAGGAGGAGGAGGAGGAGGAGGTGGAGGAGGAGAAGAAGAAGGAGAGGGGGCGACGGAGGGGCACGAGGGCGACGCGTGGGAGAAATACCACGGCTGCTGTCCCGCCCCTTTCTCCGTCGCGCATTGGTCCCCTGGTTCCACTGCCATCCCCTGCTGCTGTTCCAGCTCCCTCTCGACTCCAAACTCCCCCTTTCCCTGCCGTCATCTTGCCACGTCTGGTGGGCCTCTTGGTGCTTGCGCCGAGCGAGCGCTTGGCCTGGGCCGAAGGTCCAGGCCCACCTTCGGTGGCCATTGACGGAATGCGCTGCGGATTCCTTCAGTCTGCGTGCTCCCCATCCCACTCGCCTGCCCATCCCCACCATCGCTTCCCTCTCCCCCGGTCCCCTCCCCCGCCCCCTCCGCCTCTGGACGCCCTTCCACAATGACACCAAAAATAAATACTACTCTGTCTCCTCTCTCCCCTGGTGGCATCCGGGGAATGTCTGGCTCCCCTCCGCGTACCGGTTTTTTACAGGATTCCCGGGAGTTGTGTTTTCGCTTAGGTTTTTGTTTTTTTGTTTTTATCAAAATGCTGCTCTCGCTGAAGCGTTGGCCGCATTTCGGGCTACCGCTCGTTCCGAATCGTGCTCCCGCTGCAGCGTTGGCGTCATTTCCGCGCTTCCGGTCGTTCCGAATCGTGCTCCTGCTGGAGCGCTGGCGTCATTATTTCCAGCGCCATGCCACGACATGGTTTTCGGTTCTTCCAAATAGGCCCCAAAATCTACAAAATGGCCTCCCGAAGAAACTATCGGAAGTGATTCCACATTCGGTGTCGATTCGATCATCTTTTGGGCCGCAGAAGCCCCCCCCACTTTGGGGAGTCGCCACGCCATGCTATGCCATGCTACGCGTTGAGATTCGACACCATGCCATACCATGTAATGCTATGCCATGCTGCGACGTCCGATTGTGCGAACAGATATGAGATCTACGCCGTGGTAAGGGATGGGAGGGAGGGGTAGGACGTCAGATATGACGCGCGCGCACCCAGCTTGCCGCTCCCCCCTCCTCTCCATCCCGAGCCATGCTCCGCTCCCCTGTGTGCGTACCCTCCCCAGCCCCTCTCCTTCCAATCCCGCTCCGCTGCCGCCTCGCTCCATCAGTTTCCCTCCCACCCTGCACACCTCGGCTCCCACGGCTTCTTTGATTTCCCCCCTCACGACTCCCGCTCCCGTCCCCTCCCAGTCATTTCCTCCCCTCAGTCCGTTCGAGACGCTTCGCGTTCACCGCCGGCCCACTCCAGTTCTCGCCAGAGGAGGCGAAGACGGCTCCAAGACGGGATGGCTTTATTCCAAGAGTAGGGAAATATTTGGCGTGTGTGTGTGTGTGTTTGTGTGTGTGTGTTATGTTCCTTCCCCCCGCGCCATGACACCACCGAATGGGCTCAGGTATGCCGTGTGGCTGATCGGTCCCCGTCATCATTACCAACGGATTTGCCGAACATGAGCCCAAGACTGCAGGAAGACGGCCCAAAAAGGCTCAAACCCCGCCCGGATATAATGTAAACCGTGTCGACACCGAACCTAGTTTGGGCCGCGTTTGGGGCTCGAGTTGCTGCCAGAATCGTGACCCCGGAGCGCATCTAAAACGGTGCCGAAATCAGAATGGTGAAAGATACGATGCACGAGCCGGAAAGTCGACGATACGTCCCCCAGCGAGGCTGAAACCGTTACACCTTGAGAGTTTGCTGATATTGTGAAGCTTCCAGCTTGCATGCGAAATTGTGCCCAAGAGGCGCTCTGGGAAAGCTCCAGAGCCGATTTGGGAGGCGAAAACAGGGCCCCCAAGCCCAAGGGGCCGGAATGTAGCGACAATGCGTGGCGAAAACAAGTTGGGCATGGAGTGATTTGCGAGGTCGCCTTGGACGCCGTTTGGAAGCCGTCTTGGGGCCCAGGTCAGCCGCCGCAGCGGGCGGCAGAACGGCGGAGTCCGTCTGCGGGGGATTAGAGAGGGCTGAAGCTTTGAAAGAAGTTCTTCCAGTTGAATCCCACACACCCCTCAGCCCAGTGGGCGGGCGGATTCAAGGGGCTGACATCATTCCGCTGATCCCTGGAAGGGTGGATAAGTTAACGAAATTCGCCATTGTGAGGTAGGAATTACAATGACTGGTTTCTACGTGGGTCCGAAGGGTGCATTAATTATGAGTGCGGACATTTTGATCCTGGAGTTTGTTTGAGATTTATTCTAGCAGTTCTCGGGGCAGTTTGGGCGCTCTCGGCTTGGGGACCTTGTGGGCCCTGTTAGGGCCATCTTGGAGGACATCGATCAAGAAGGTGTTGGTACTTGATTAGCGCTGCCCCTCCAGAGCCAGAGACATCTGCTCCTTGGCACTATTGGGGCGCTCCTGGAAGCCTTTTAGGACCGTCTTGGGGTATCTGCGGGCCCTTCTTGAGGCACTCTTGGGCGATCTTTCTTTGGGCCATCTTGAGGCCTCAGCGGCCCAATATATAGGAACAGACGTACATAAAACACTGCGGAGTGGAGCCGCAGGAAAAGCGCAATCTACATGAACACACGGAAAAACACCTAGATTCGTACACATATGGGAGGCCCAATCTCTAGGAACAATACATAAAACACTTAGGATAGGAAACGCATGAAAACAACAGTCTATAGACACATACGTAACACACTAAGGATTCGTGCTCCAGGTGAGGCCCAATCTATAGGAGCATACGTAAGCACATGGGATTGGAGCCGCTCCTGTGGCCTTTGATGCCTCCTGCTCCTGGGGCCTCTTGGGGCCTCACGTATAGGTTGGTTCATTCTGGAGCTCCCAACTTCTCCAACTCCGCTTTTGACCAATCGGAGGCGGTGGCGCACTGAATAGACAGTAATCACAAACTGCGTTCTGTGCGCAGTGTTCTCAAGCGGGCATCACTGGAGGCTGCTACTCATGCACTTGAAAGCCTCTTCCCCTCGTGACGTTCGGAGGTTCCTGTGAGAAAATGGCCGCTAGCGCATCGTTGTGTACTTTGGCCGCGCACTGATCTTTCACTCGCTTGCTGCGCAACTTCTGTGTGGGTCCGGTGGTCGAGTCCAGCCGTGGGCTTACGCGGCGGAAAGAGCGCCACCGCAAGGTGGCAGCATGTTCCCAGACGCCTTTCCAGGGTAATTCCTCTGGCGATGACGGCCTCCACCGAGCCGCAAGGCGCGCCCAGATGGTCACGAACGATTTTGAAGAACCCCGATAGGCCCCGGAAACCAGACCAACAGCGCTGTCATTACAATACTTACCGATGACAACGGGAACGCGTGAACACAGGAAGCTCAGGGCATGGCGTACGTCCCCAGCGGCCCCCAGTGCCGTTCGAGCAGCAATTCGTCCTTCTCTGCGGTGATTCAGCGAGGAGCTGGGTCCAGCAAGCTTTCGTCGCTCACAGCAGTCGGCACACTGAATCTGAAGTGTCCAACCTTTTTTGTCGAGCAGCAGTTGGGCCTTCTGAAGTGTCGCTTGCCAAAATTTTTGGAACATACGTAATTCACTTAGGATTGGATGCACAGGGGAAGGACAATCTATAGAAGCATACGTAAAGCACAAAAAGGATTCGTGCTCCAGGGGGGTCTCAATCTGTAGGGACATACGTACAATGCATGGGATTGGAGCCACTCCTGTGGCCTCCTGAGGCCTCCTGCTCCTGGGGCATCTTGGGGCCTCCTGGTGCCTTCCGTGGCCTCCTGGTGCCTCCTGGCGCTTCTTGTGGCCTCCTGGGGCCTCCTGCGGCCTCTTGGAGCATCCTGGAGCCTCCAGAGGCCTCCTGGACCCGCTTGGGGCCTCCTGGAGCCTCTTGGGGCATCCTGTGGCCTCTTGAGTCTTCCTATGGCCTCCTGATGCCTCCTGGGACCTCCTGTTGCCTGCTGGGACCTCCTGGAGCCTGCTGGAGCCTCCTGTGGCATCCTGGGGAGGACCCCTGCCCACGAGTCTGGCCACCAAAACAAGCAAACCGCTCGAGACATCCTCAACACCTAGCCCGCCTTGGGGGCGAACATGGGCGCTTCGCTCGAGACACCCTCCAAATCTGCTCCGAAAGCGGAGGATGTTGGGCCAGGGAACAGGCAAGCCGCTCGAGACATCCCCGCCATTTTGGCACGAACAGAGGAGTGCAATCCCCCCTGGCGGTTCCCCCATGTGGGTGCCGAAGCCCGCGCATCGCTCGAGAGATCGTCAGAATTTGCTCCGAACGCGGAGGATGTTGGGCCAGGGAACAGGCACACCGCTCGAGACATCACCGCCATTTTGGCGCGAACGGAGGGGTGCAATACCCCTTGGCGGCTCCCCATTGGGGTGCTGAAACCCGTTCCTGGTTCGAGACATCTTCAGAATTTGCTCCGAAAGCTGAGGATGCTGGGCCAGGGAACAGGCAAATCGCTCGAGACACCCCCGCATGTTGGCGCGATCGGAGGAGTGCAATACCTTTGGCGTGGGGGTGCTGAAACCCGCGTCTCGCTCGAGACACCCTCAGAATTTGCTCCGCCATCATCATCATCATCATCATCATCATCATCATCATCATCATCATCATCATCATCATGCTCCTCTCTATTCTCCTTGCGACCCGCGCTCTTGCTGTCTCTGCAGCTTCTCAGCCCCAAAGCGCCCCCCTCGGCCGCGCGCGCGGGCGCCTTATGCAGGCGATCGCGTAGGTGGCTCTCCAGGGCGCGGGGGACATTCTTTTTCGGGGGGTGCGGGCCGCGCTCTGCGAGCGGCTCGTCGCCGCCCCCGTTTCTGTGCTTCAGGACCAGGGGCCTCCGCTACCGCCTGGTCCACCCAACAGGCAGACCCGCCTGGGGGTGAGGGGGCCGTTTGCCCCCTCCCCTCGGCGGGCTCTGCCTGTCCCACCGTCTGCCTCGGGCAGGCGGTGGAGTTGAGCAGCGGG